GTATATATATATATATATATATATATATATATATATTAAAAAATCAGATATAATTTAAAGGCAAAAAGTAAAAGGATGAGGAAGGAAGAGTCATTTAATAACCGGAAGAAGATCTAACAAAAAAGAAACTCTGAAACTCATTTATAAAAAATATATATATTTTAATTGAGCTTCGACTACAACTACGATCCGCGATCTGGATAAATTTGTCCAAACTAACAGCACAAGTCGCCGGAAGCCACCAGCCACCACCGTTGCACCGCCTTGAATGTAGAAACCGTTGGCTGAGTTCTGGGCATTCATTTGAAATTCGAAAACGGAATTAGAGCTTGCACCAGCTTCTGTTCAATTTTCAGTCTCATTGACCGACCGTGAGTGATCCGAATTTTCCGGTTCAATTATATTTCCTTATATTTGTACTTGACAGTACACATCGTGATTCTTCTGAATGCACAATGTATAATTCTCACCTTGCACTGGATTTCATTTTCATTTCGTAAAGCTTGGATCCATGTTTATTATTCACTAGGAAGGTGCCAATCGTAATTCACTGGTAGTTCAACTGTTAGGCTCCAATCTCCATATGGACCTTTTAGGCCTCTTTTTTTTGCTTATAGGGCTGTCGCAATTGCAAGATTGATGCGTTATTATTATAGTCACTGTTGTTGACCTTTTTAGCTCATGTACGTGTAAAGGAATCATGGTTAGCATTTCCTTTTAGTTTTTTGAAAAAGCAATGCAGTGGAGGCTATAACATGTTGCAATGTCTTCTGCTCCTTAAGTGTGTGGTTTTCGTTATCTCGACTTCTGATAGATTATCTAGTGTCAAACTAGCCTCGAACAGTTTATGTTATCATTGAATATGAGTGAATGGACAACAGAAGTTACAGCATGAAAAGAAGATGACTACTGAATTTGCTTAAATCAATATGTAAATCCAAATAATGAGAGGAACAAATATTCAATATTGAATTTTAAAACTTAGCTTGCTGTTAGTATGTTTACAGTTTGTTATTTACTATGGCATGAATAGACTTTTTAGGTTAAGCTGCATTGATTGATGACTAAGATCATTGTTCCATTTCAACTGTGCCATATGATGACACCTATTTACCTATTTGATTCTTTGTTGATGTTCTTCTCAAGGCTGATAATCTTTTCTTTTTTTCTGTTTGGTTCCAGAATGGAATCTGAATCCACTAGTTCATCTCCACAACTCTCCGCTAAACCTTCTGATGCTGAAGCTCCCAAGCCAATTGCTTCCCAGAACAATAGTTCTGCTCAGAACACATCTAAGACACCTGCATCAACCATATCATCTTGGGCAAAAACCTTAAACTTTCCGCAGCCTGTAGCGCCTGGCCAGCAGGGGTCAACAGTTGGAGATGCTGGTACATCTTCCTTCTCACGTTTTGCAAGTGGACTTGGTTTGTCATTCACTTCAAAAGCTTTTGTGACAAATGATCGCGCTGGAGGCAATGCACCAACCACACAATCAGGTGTATTTGAATCAATCACTAAAGGGCTAATTGACACATCTTTGAATGCTGTGAAGGCTGTGCAAGTTAAGGCACGACATGCCGTATCTCAAAACAAACGAAGATACCAGGTAGATCAGAATGTCACTGCTTTGCTTATGTCTCAAGTTTTCCTTATTCATATGAGATATGAAGTGTTTTCCTTATTCATATGAGATATGAAGTCAATACCATTTAGTTTGCAACTCTATACATTATCCTTGAGAGTTTTACTTACTCGTATAAGATACGAATTCAGTAGCATTTAGTTAGCAACTCTAGGCATCACTCCAAATCTCTCCATGATCATATTGATAAAAGCCCAAGAAATCCTTTTTCTTTGTTCATTCCTTGAAACTTTAGACTGACGTTTAAATCATTTTACCCACCAAAAGTAGCAAACAAGCTGTGTGGAAACAATTTGTGCTTGCTTCTTGTGTGCAGTACAATGTTTCCTAATGCTGCAGAATCTTAATTAGTAACATATACATCCATAGAGATGCCCTCTCATCTTCTTTTGTCTGGAGCGGGTTTCTTTTGAATTTACTACTTCTCAATGTTAGCTGATTATTGTCGTAAACTGGTTAAATAAAACAGGAGGATGGATTTGATTTGGATATGACTTACATAACCGAGAACATCATAGCTATGGGTTTCCCTGCAGGCGACATGAGCTCTGGTTTCTTTGGATATGTGGAGGTAAAGATCACCCATATTTACTTTTTGGATATTTTTCACTTATTCCAAACCTGCATCTCTAACATATTAGATGGATGATACAGGGATTCTATCGGAATCACATGGAGGAAGTGATCAAATTTTTCGAGACTCATCATCAGGTACTTCTGTAAATCCCTTTTTGTCCCTAGTAACTCTATTGAAGTGCCTTATACTTTTTACAAGAATTGTGCTTCTTGAAATACCATAGCTATAGTTTTTCAGGGTACTGAATGTTCCAATGTTGCTGTGAAAATGGCTTATCATCATGATATTTTTTTGGATTCAGTTGTCAACTTCTGTTAGAACAATTTCTGGTAGTTTTTGAAGAATGTTAAGATTCAGAATTTTGCATTCTTAAGTATTATTTGTTTTTTGTATAGTAGTATAT